AAAACGTTTTTAAGCAAAGTCAACCGAAATAACTTTCTTATTTTTTTCTTTTTACCTTGTAAATTGGGTGTTAAATAAATAAAATAATAATAATAATAATATTATAAGAAATTTAAACAAATTTTGTACAAAAATTTAGAGAGTAAAATTTAGAGTCTTAACTCTATATATCTAGAAGGTATAGGAAAGATTACATCACTAAATCTTAGACATTTACTGATACTCAAGGTAATCTATGGTCAATTCTTTGAAAGAATTCATAAAAATGTAAACACGTAAAATGTAAAAATATAAAAGTAGTCATTATTTTAATTTGAACATAAAGTTTGGTATTTGTTTTAAATTTTGTTAAAAAGTTGAATCAGTTGAACTAAGAAGCTACAGTCTATTATTTAGTTAATAATAATTTATTCAATAAAAGCAGACATATTATAATTTAAAAATGGAATCTGTTCTCCATGTTTCTGTAATAGTCTGTTTCTTTTTGCTTCAAATATGTTTCCAAATGTGCTAAATAAGCATTCACTTTTTACAGATGAAGAAGGCACGCACAAAACTTTCTTTGAAAACTCTGACAAATTCAACTTGTAAGTATTTTTATCAGAGCAAGTGTAACGGTATGCACCCCACCACTTATAAAGGCATTCATTCTTTGGCAGTATTGGAAGGCTCAAGTAGAAGTTGACTTCATTGGTGCTGATACATAAAATATAGGTGATAATTTTAGGTTTAAATTTTTAAAATATTATTATATTAATCAACTAAACAAAATAAAAGAATGCTCTTATTCGTCTTTTGAAATATAAAAAATGGAGATTGAGTGTAATTAAGAATAGAGATAAAAAAAATCTCATTGATAAATGATAACTAATATTGATCCTATGCAATCAAAAATTGATCATATGCAATCAAAAGTTTAAAATGGCTATAGGAAAAACAAAAGGAACATGAAATATAGAAAAGGATATAATTACCAATTTAATTTAAATTTAATGTATAAACAATATAAAAATCATAAATAGATTCTGTTTTCTTACCATTTTTCTTTGACAGTTAGAGTTTTTCCCATTGAACTAGGGTTTTTTTTAAATTTTTTTCTCTGTCCGTCAGAATTTTCTGAATTTTGCAGAGCATACTCATTTGCACCGATTTGGTGGAACAAGCTATATATGCCCATGCTCATTAGTTTTTTGTTTTTTTTTAATGGAGAGCCATGGCCATCAAAATCTGAGTCGGACTCATGAATTTTAGATTCTGAAAATGAACTTAATGATTCTTCTGAGTCTGATCCACTGCCTATTGCTACACCGAATTCAATTTCTTTTACTTGTTCTAAATAAGATTTGAAACAAAAACGATAAAACTCTAGATGAAGTATTTCTTTAAACATATTATGATTCTTGTCTTCAACAAACTTTAGCTTGAAACAAGGATCAAGCATCATCGCTATTTTTAAATCAACATTATCCTTGTATTTTTGAAAACGACAGTTAAAATCTTTCTTAAGTTCATCAACAACAGTTTTGATTTCAGTTGCCGTGTCATAAGCGTAGTCTAGAAATATTATCATTGCATAGATAAATGGTATAATCTCTGATATACATGCAGTTTTTTTACTCATGTCTTTTGTAGTACTTTCGAAGTGTTTTAATATGCATACAAGCATTTCAGCAAGTTGCCATTGGTTTTCCGTAGGATTTTTTGCATTTGTTTGATTTCTGGTAATGCAATACAATGTAATAGCTTTTTTTTTGCTCAATGAACCTCTCAAGCATATAGTATGTCGAATTCTATCTTGTGGAAACATCTTGAATTATGTTATGCTCTGGCAATTTTAGTTGACTTTGAATTTCCTTTAGTTTAGCCACAGCACTAGATGAGTAGTGGAAATGATCGAAAAATAGCTATTGTATCACTTGCTGTTCTTTGTTTTCTAAAGATCTTTTTCTGAATACAAAGTTGTAAAGTATGTATCAGACATGGAAGATGTTTATCGCCCAAATTTGACTCTTTAATGGCAGCCATTACATTGGCTGCATTATCAGTTAAAATGCATGAATTTTGTCATGGGAAAATTCCCATGATTTTAGCGCTTCATTTATGAATTTACTTATCTTGTGCCCTGTGCGCGACTCAGGGAAGTGTGAAACTTGTAAGATGACATGTTTAACTGTAAACTCATGTGTTACAAATCTAGCAGTTAAACTATAATACGGTTGAATTGTGTGCTGACAGGCCCAACCATCACTAGTTAAACTTAGGAAATCGGCTTGATCCAGCTCATATTTTACTTTGGCTTTTATGGTTTTATACATCAGTGGAATGACTTTTGTTGAGAAATACTTTCGACTAGGTATTGTATAGTTTGGAGCTAAATTCTATAAAAGTCGGGTAAAACCTTTATCTTCAACAATACAGTATGGCTGCAAGTCTAAACATATCATTTCTCCAATAAGCTTGGTAATAGCTTGAGCCTTAGGATTGTCAAGTTGCCACAATTCTTTTCTTTGCAAAATCTCCCGCAGTGAGACCTGAAACAAATTCAACGAATTAAAAAAATTACTTAGCAACTTGTAACTAACAATGGCCAGCGACGGATCTAAGTGGCGGATAGAAGTATGTATCGTTCCCCCCTCATCAGAATATTTATTATAATATTATAAGCTTAGGTAAGTTAAGTTAACTTTTTTCTATAGAAAAGATAATTTTTAGACAAGACATGCCCCCATCCAGTCACAAAATCATGAATACTGAATAGTAAATGAACTTAGCTAAAGTTATCTGAGTTACCTGTGTCGATGCTCTTTGAAAAAAGGCAATTGTGTTATTAGACACACGCGAGGTTCCCTGAGTTTCATCTGCGGCAGTGCTGGTAATGATTTGCACTGATTCAGCAGAACTTGTTCTATCTGAGCATATTTTTTGAGTAGTGCAAAATTGTTTTATAGACTTTCATTTGGATCTGGTAAAGATTCGTGGTTAACAGTTTTCTTCTGAGAAAGATTCATGCTATGTATATTATAATGTACTTTTTTCAGATGATTTTGTAAATTTGTTGTTGACATGTTGTGTGCGTCTTTACTTCCTCTAGACAAAATCTTCTTGCAAAGTATGCAGATAGCTTTGCCAACATCTTCATCACTCACTTTAAAATAATTTCATAAGGGATTTTTACTTCGGGATGAGGTAGCCATAATGCGCTAATGGATAACTTAAAGTTATAATAACAATTCTGAAAATTGAAATATGAAGTTTAATTAGTTTCTTACCTTTAATAATATTTATTGAAATAAACAATATTCGTATTCGAATTAAAAAAAATCGAAGTCGTAAATGACCAATTAACCTATATTTGTTGAGCAGGTATATTTACTTTTACTAATGATCCAGCGTACAAGATCAAAAACAAACGCAATTGACTTATATTTCAATTGTGCTTTTCTGTGTATTAAGACTTAGTAAAACAAACTTTCTAAATAAAAATTGTTTCGTGCGTTAAAATTAACTTATTTGCAAAGATTTTTAAAAATTTCGAGATTAGTTAACTCTCTTAACTCTCGTGCGCTAAGTTTTTTATTACTTAAAATCCGGAGGTTTTAGTTACATCTAAGTAATTTCAAATAAAGATTTATTTCCAGGTTTAATTTTAATTTTAATTTAATATTAAAAAATATATATTTTAATATAACTCAGATTTTAGAAGTTAATGCTAACTAATAACTAAATGCTAAAAAAATCAAATTTTAATATTATTTTTCATTATTTTACTACCAACTAATGCATAAATAAATTTTATTGCTAAGCTCGAGTGATCATAACTAAATATTAGGGTTATGGTATTTAATTATATAAACTTTACTATAATGTTACAGTTTAAATCAGCTTATATTTAGCGATTATAAAAAAAATCAATGTGTTTCATTAAGTAACTTTACTTTCTATCCGCTATCGTGCCGTTTTTGGCCGCCCTACACACAGCCTTGTCACCTCCAAAAGCCGTAGCTGGATTCATTTAATCTTCACCACTGTATAGACCAGAGGCTTATTTAAATTTCTCATTAAGCAGCCGTTATTTAGTCAAGAAGAAAATAAAAAGAAGTATTTTGAACGTTCAACTTTACTTTCTATCCGCTATCGTGCCGTTTTTGGCCGCCCTACACACAGCCTTGCCACCTCCAAAAGCCGTAGCTGAATTCATTTAATCTTCACAACTGTATAGACCAGAGGCTTATTTAAATTTCTCATTAAGCAGCCGTTATTTAGTCAAGAAGAAAAGAAAAAGAAGTATTTTGAGCGTTCAACTACGTTTTGTTCTGAAAACAGACGTCTTTTGAACGTTTAAAAATGTCTTCCTCAGTCAAATGCCAGCTTAGTAATGTCCAAGTATACTGTAACATACCAACACATATTTTAAAGTAATTAAAGATTCTAACCTATAGCTTAGAATTTTAAAAAAGTTTAAAGCTTAGAAACTTAAAAATATTTTGCCGAAGCCAATGAATCAGCAAAAAAAGCCCATGGTTTCCGCCGAACCGAAGCCGAAACCGATGCTTCGGTACATCCCTAATAATAAATTTATAATATGCATAATAAGTTAAAATTAAAATAATTGGACCTGGGTAGAACGGTTCAGATTACGAGTAGATTTCCGCCAAAAATTTTGCCAAACAAATGTTAAATTTTATACTTTTATAAATATTTATATAAATTGTATTTAAATTGTGATTAATATTCTAAGATGACAATTATAAAATTTTTTATTTCAAATTTATAATTGATACAACTCTATGCCGTATGAAAAAAATGATAAAACAAAATTCAACTGACAGTATATATATATATATATATATATATATATATATATATATATATATATATATATATATATATATATATATATATATATATATATATATATATACATGTATATATATATCTATACATTTATATATAATATATATAAATATAAAAAGTATTTAAAAAAAAAAAAAAAAGCGTCTGTCACAATACATAAAAAATTTATTTCATGTACTTTTTCTTAATTTTAATCAGAATGGTCCAAAATTAAAACATCTTTTGTGTCAACTTGTGACTCTTCTAGAAAAGAATCTTCTAATACAGAATTTAAAGAAGATCTTGCGGATAAAATACCTTGTAGAGAATGATGTTGTAATTGTGGTTTTATTGCGAATCGACGCCTGTGATTCGATGTCGACAAATTAAGCATTTTAGAAAAAAGAGAATCATCTAAAGAAACAATTATGTTCGCTTAAAAAGATATACAATAAATAATAAACTTAGACGGATGTAAAGAATTTTACAAGCGTTTGTTTAAAATATTTAACAGTAAATAATATTTAAAATAATTAAAATATTGTTAGAAAAAAAAAATTAGAATTTGTTTTATAGTTGTTATATACAGCTTTATCCATATTATTATAAATATAATACATAATATAATAATGATACATTATTATATTAGTATTCATCTCCACGTTGTATAGTGTTTTTTTGGATTAAAATAGAGAATCTTTAATGTACCTCCAATGTTTCTTATTTTTTATTGTTTTAAACCTTTTTTTTTACACTTATCGCACGCTTCTTTATACTTATTGCACGCGCAAAAACAGCAAATATTCTACAGCCTTCTTTTTTTATGGGTGCGTCTTGTTACACACACGCGCAAATAGACTCATCCTTAACATTATTATATTCTATTCTTACTTTAGAAAAAAAATTTTAAGTTTAAAGTTTTTTTAATGAAAAGTAATAAAAAATAACTTTTTTTTTTTAAATTCAAATTTAAATTGCAGCCGTGGCGCAGTAGTTAGAGCGCTTGCTCTATAAGCAGGAGTTCCAGGTTCGAAACAAGCTTTGGACATATTTCGCGTCACGGTAAGGAAGGAGGCGTGAACTTCCTGGTTAAATGCACTTCCACAGTGCTCTGTGACAAGACCGTTAGGTCTTCTTGGGGGACATAAATAAATTTACTTCAAGCAAGGTTGCTATAAAATAGGAAGTTACTGGAAAAGAAAGAGTTAAAGAGCAAGAAAATGGCTGACAAAAGACTTTGAGCTGTAGGTTCTATGAGTCAGAAAAACATGAGTATAGAGGATATTCCCAATGGATTGAAGTGCGGGAAAAAAAAACTAGATGAATGAAATTTTTTAGAAGCATGCATGGACAGATACAGCAAAAGGATGTGACTTTGCTGAATAACAAATCAAGCGAGAATGAGTTTTAGTAGATGGAACTAGAGACGATTGCTCTTTTGAGCAAAATAACCGTGCATGTAGATACATTAAAGTTTAAGAAACGCTTTTTTTTTAAGCCAAAATCCTCGCCAATGTATTTAAATTCCACTGCTCATAGTCTCTATATACGCAATACACTACGTTTATTCATAAATAGTCAGTTGAAAAATGTACAGACACTCTGCGTTAAATTGAATTTAAATTAAACTTTTAAACATTTTAATTAAAAAAAAGTTTTTTCAATTTCCATTAAATCGGATATATTGTCTCTTTTTTTCATTAAACGTGCAAGTTGACTATAATCGAATAAATAATCAAATATATCAAGTCTATTCGCCCGTTTGATTTAATTAAAAAATGCACTATACAACAGTAACTCGTCTAATACACCAGCAGTAATTTATGCATTGCTGTCGGCGTATTACTGTTGTATCGTGTGAAATGTACTATACAACAGTAATACACAACAGCAATGCACGAATAATTTAAAACGTGCTATAATGCCCGTTATTATTAATTGCTATTATAAAATATATGCCTGAATATAAATTAAATATATGATTTTGAACCTACCTTGATTATTTGCGACAAGGCCTTTATCTACATTTAAAAGATTCTTTCTAAGGGGAAGTTTCATTCTAGCTTGCGCGTAAGAGTAAAACAATGTAAAGTTGCTTCCTATCACCGAAACTGGTAAAGCGACTATTAATAAACCAGAGCATGCGCACAATGCTCCTACAATTTTTGCAGAAAACGAATTAGGTATCTAAAAAAAAAAAGCAAAAATTTTATCTATAGTATCGTAAACGAATAAAAAAAACCTTATGTTTAACAGCGTACCACGTCTCCGTAACCAACTGTTGTCATGGTAACAATTGACCACCAAAAATATTCCGGAATGCTTGTATAATTTTTGTCATTGTTAGAATCACTCTAAATTAAAGAGATTATTACATTACATTATGTACTAAGTAATTTACAATTACTTAGTACATGAATAAAAGATTTACATGACCTGGGCAAAAACAAGTCTATAGTTTTCTTATCACTAAGTCCCGGGGTAAAAAAAAGTTGTCTCGTCACTAAGCCTGTATAAAATTAAAAAAAATGTAAAGAAACGTTTTCAAATACAAAGAAACGTTTTTATAAAATAAAAAAACAATTTATAAAAACAGACATGGGCTCAAAGAAAATACGGATGACCGGAGTCACCACAACCTTTTTATAAAACCCCTATTTTGACTTTTAACAATTGTAAAGTAAAATAAAATTGTTATAAAATGCAAATAAAACTCAGTTAAAATATAAAAAAAAGAATATCCGTTAAATATGTAGAGTAATAAATAGAATAAGCTTCTATAAATGTAAATAAAAAATAAAACATAATATTAGAAATTAGGCATAATAAAAAAGTATATATCAAATTTCAATGTTTTTATTTGATTTTAAAATTTCTTGTTCTATATTTTAGACTTTCGATAAGCTGCACTCTTTATATTTAGTTAATTTACGAGGTAGTGCAGGTGTGAGCCTCTCATTAGATCTTAAAAAATAGTTATTCTTTTGATTTATTGTAAAATTTGTTTCAAAATTGTTTAGTGTAAGTTTTTTTAAAATGATTATCATAATGAAGATCATGTGTTGAAATATGTTTATCTCATATAAACTTATTATTTTCATTTCTCTCAAGAATGGCTTTGCATGCTCTTTTTTTTTTGGTATATAATTCTACTAGCATGTTTTTGCGCAATTTTTTTATTTTTATGTTTAGCATGTGTAAATTTGTTTTTATGATATATTATTCTAGAGGTGTTTTTGTCGTCGATAAAGGAACATTAATTTAGTCATGCGTGTGCTTTTCCCAAGAAACTGTAAGATAACTATGTATAAATAAAAATAAAGAAGTTTTGAAATTTTTTTAACAATAATAGTTTAGTTTTTAAAAGAAAACCAAGATTTTTAGATGATGGGGTGACCATGGAACTTTTTATCAAGATTTTTAGATATTTGAGTGATGATAGCGTTTATCTGTCCGTGAATTACAAGTTGCACAAAAAAGCGAAAGTTAAAATACATAATCATTTTATAACTAAAAAAAAATCAAAACTTCTAGAAGTGTTATTTCTAGTTGTTGTTCTTTATCTTGCCAACCTTATTTAGCTGATTTTGAATGCATTCTTCATTCATTTCATATCAGTAACGCGTTTTTTATTCTTACAAAATAAGGACACCATTGATTGTGTCTGTTATTTTGATTGTGTCTGATTTTACACCATTCTCGAGACTGATGTGACTCATTACTCTCTGAAAACCAAAAGTTTTCTCATTAAAGTATGACACAATTAAGTTCAATCTTAACTGAAACAAAGCTTTGTCAACAAAAATTTGTGTTGGGGATCTGGACCATACAATATTCTTAAGTCCCTACTTAGACTGTTTTTGACATTAGTGGATTTTTTCTAAAGTGTCTCATTATTTAGTTCTTTAGGCTCTTTCTTAATAATACCATTCATATATGCATACTATAAATCAACTTTTGTTGTGTGATTGCTGTAAACTGCAGTATTTCTTTTCTTCCATTAACACCAGCAATTAGAATCAAACGGACATAACACGTGGCAATAGCAAGGAACAGTACGAATGTTTTTATTTTTATTTTTGGTATACCGTTTTATTTTTGTTTCAAAAATTATTAGCTGCAGCCTGTTGACTTTTCTGGTTGAATTTAAAGTTTAACATTTGGATTACTGATAAAAAGATCACTGAATGCAGTGTGGATTATGCCTAATCAAATTTAAAATCTAGATTATAACTTTATAAACTAAATATGAACTATGTATAAAATAAATACCTCCAGTTAAAAGGTCTAAATTATAATTAAATATAAACTAAGTAATAAACAAGTAGTTCTACTAAAACTATAAACAATTTTATACGGTATACGAGATGCAAGAGATCAGTGACTAAAATCTTCTCCTCTTTACTACCTGCTTTTATACTGGGTACCAGTCTCCAATTGTTTTGATAACTATTCACTTTACACTTACGCTAATAAAATGCTATCTCTTTCTTTAAGGCTTTTACGGTTGTATGTGTTTTGTAAAGTAATTGAACTTTTTCACATCCTTTAATCTTTATTTCTTTCTAGACATCTGTCTAATTGTTTATATTTACCTTAAAATTTTTAAACAGATTTTTTCTGTTTATTGCCATATGAAAATTTTTTTTGCGACCGAGGGTTTAAAGATTTTCACTACTCCAGCCTTTTTAGAATCTTTTTAAAAATCTTTTTAAAATTAAGCTTGGTTTAAGAATCAAACGTAATACAAAACATGCAAAAGACTTCAAAGTCAAAACATAGCCCTCCGGAAATTGTGGTTACCACGCCATTTAGCAAAACATACCTACGTTTTTGTCATAAGCCACACCTACGTTTTTGTCAATAACTCATAAGATGTGTTTGCAATTGATATTGATATAGGATCTGTTTGCAATTGATGTTGATATAGACTGTGTTTGAAATTCCCCTTAGGTCTACATAGGCTTGGCGTTTCTTGTTAATTTCATGGAAACCATTAACCTTTCCTAAATATATACCAAAAAAGCCTTGTTTAGGCTGTTTTTTTAATTTTTTTAATTTCATTAAATGTATATGTGCAATACAAAACTTCTATTTGGAACAAACTTAACTTGTGAGAAAATCCACTTTATTTTTTGTTGTCATTGACAACACTGCAATGAAGTTCACTTTATTTATTTAGTTTTTTTCCAATAAAGTTTTTTCTAACAGATCTTAATTTTTTTCTCTCTTATTTTTTTGTTATATTGCACATCTCTTTGCTCATATATTTTAATTGTAGAGAGTTATTAGACCTTACATCAATTTCAAAGCATCTACCATATTTAATATTAAGGGCATATAAAACTGGTGATAACTCAACAAAACCATCATTATAAGTAATGATTGTAGCCATTTCAACAAAAGTTTTAGAGGTGTATATTTATTAGAGAAAACGGTTCCAAACTTTATTAAATGATTGTTTCTATTTTAAGCATAACAGTTTCGCTAAATTTTAAAATATTGGCTAAATTGCTTCTATAATAGCTACTGATAAATATACTTTTTACTTGTATGTAACTTGACAAATAGCTTTATCAGTCTTCAATTTACACCAGGTATTTTCGCCCTTGGTACAAAATAAATGTCGGTATTCCCCAGAAGTAAAATTAGTTCAATAATAAAGTGAAGCTGTTACAGAGTTCCTCGTTTCTAAAAGAATTTTTAAATTTTGTCAAATAGATATTTCATAATTTTGCAAATTGTTAATTAATTTATTTGTAAGTCGACTTTTACCGGATATACCTTTTCCATCAGAAAGTTTTACTCGTCTTTTTTTTTCTCTAATTTTTTTCTCTCAAGAAAAATCAATTTTATGGACGCTTCTAATAATGTCCAATGGATTCTAGTTTTAATGGAGTAAGGTCGGAGTAGCCGTAGCGCAGTGGTAGCGCACTTGTCTTAAGCCCGTTCTCCATTCAGAACTTTTTGCGCTTTGGAGGAGCGGAAAAGTTCTTTGAGCATGCGCAAACAGTTTTTTTTAAGCCCGTTCTCCAATCAGAACTTTTTGCGCATGCTCAAAGAACTTTACCGTTCCTCCAAAGCGCAAAAATTTCTGAATGGAGAACGGGCTTTAGAAACTATCTTTGGATCAAACTCCACCTCTGGGCAAGTTTTGCAACATCGGTTAGGAAAGAGGCATGAACTTCCAATTAAATGCTCATCCGCGGTACTCTCTGATGAGACCGTAAGGACTTCTTGGGGAACCTGAATAGAATTTTTTTTTCCATTTAGATTTATTTAGGTTTATTTAGGCAGATTTATTATAAAGAAAATATACGTTTACAATGCGATTTTAAATCTTGCACAGCTAGCACACCATTGGTCTAACGTTTGTAAAAACATCGCAAAAGTTGGTTGTTTTTTCGATCTAAATCCAACGTTGATTCAATGTATAGGGATTAACTTTGATCCATTGTATATGGATTAACGTTGATCCAATGTTTATTATGCAACACTTATCCTATGTGTATGGATTAACATTGGATTATATACAATAAGTTATACACCATATGAAGCAAGCTTATGGAGAAGATTATCATGTCAAACTTTATCGGAAGCTTTAGATATGCCAAGGACATTAGCCCACACCTCGCCGCATCCATATTTACATCTTCATTAACACAGCGCTTTATATTGCACTAAATATACCAACAATAAACTGTTTCAAAAGTATTTGAATAATTTTTTTTTTTTTTTTCAATTTTTATTTTAGGTGCCGCAAGAAGCTCTTACGGTCTTATCACAGAGCACCGCGAATGAGCATTTGCCTAGAGGTGGGGCTGGAACCATGGATCCTTTGTTTCTGAAGCAAGTGCTCTACCACTGCGCCAAGGCTACTCATCGACAATGAAAAAACATTAGCTACGCTAGATTGTCTAAAAATAATGATTAAATTTTTTTTTATTTAAAAGCAATGAAAATCAATATTAGGGTGGGCTGAAACCAAAAAATAAAAAAGTGTCAACTCTAATTACTTGGTTTTAAAAGACGTTTGTACTTTAAAGGCTATAGAAAAGACAGCGTTTATAGAGATGTTAGTTTAGAACCATTCAATCTATGGATAAATTATAATATTTATCCAGTATCTGTCATTAGAATTAAAACAAAGCTCAGCAGTTAAAATTTTTTGTAAATTTGTGAACTACGAAAAAAAGAAAAAATGACAAAGTTATGAAACAAATTCGGCAGTATTTATAGAAGAGGCAAATTAATTATTTAATGTCCATTAAAGACCACAAGAAACAAGCAGAAATTGAAAAGAATTTTCTAAAGTTTAGACCCAGCTTTAAGGCATTTGCTCAATTCAAATTCA